GGTAGAATCGGTGACTCGTCTCCTAATGTACGTCTTTCTTATGCTTTTTTCTTATTTCGTTTTTTATCTTTCTATCATCGTTTAATTACCGTACAATGGTTCATAATATTTGTTTTCGAATCGACGGATGAGGCCACTTCTATAAGTAGAGATTCAGTTTTGAGGTTCACTGAATTATACAGATGATCCGTGTGATTGCCAGATCTCGTGCTCTTGCTCTTGAATGTTATTCATCGACAAGCCCCTTGGATTTCACAAACATCACTTATTGGCATGGGTCTCGTTCCTTGATAGTTCGTTTATTCTCCACATATATTTGCATTTGTCAGAAATTTTAATGCACCCTCGATGGTAGTGGATATCATCGGTTCTCAATTTTGGCGTTCTCGGTCTGAGTCCCGACAACGAGACAAAAGTATGCACTATTGACGAGTTACAACAACTTGTTCATTACTGGCTGTCAAAAAATTTCTGAATGAATTATTCTCTTTTTGTGTTTGCAGTGTGCAAGCCCTTGAGATTTCAATTGATCATATGTTCGATAAATTGCTGTGGTTAGTACGGAATTTCAAAGTTCGCGACATTGGTAAAGACCAACTTGGGTGTTTTTCTGCAACTGAATTTATTAATCCAGGTTTTCCCGAACTCGAGTTCGAAGGTGTCCCAATTTACTCACAGAATCTGCGCCTGGAGTTGTTGAATCAGCCCGAAGAAATTTGTCTTCACTGTATATATATAGTGCGATTGCCCGATCGTTTCACATCGTCTTATCCCTCTGAACCGTAACCTCATGCAAGTAAATTCCCTGTGATCCTCTCTGCGATCCGATCGGATCATTTCCCGCGATTTTCGCAACTTGGAATCCATGAACTCGACACGAGACTGTCTGATTATCGGCTCGTAGTGCCTGTGATGCTCTTGCTGTCACCCATAATCTGTAGTTGTTGTCGAACTGGTCAACTCTTTTCATACACAATACCTCTTATTCTTTTATTTCCTTTTAATTGAATGGATAAATTTACAAATAAATTTAAGCAAGTACACAAACAATCAGAGACAAATAGGGAAATAGGTAGCGGTAGGTGGTGGGGGGGCGGGGTTGAATTCACAACCAACTCCGCTCGAAATCCCCCTTCGCATGAGGCAAAGAATTGAGAAAGCAAATCAGTTTTGCTACATGAACAGGAGTATATCATCTGAAGACAATATTTTCGATATAACGTGCTCATTTGTTCCCCAGTAACCTGATTCATTTGTGGTTTTAAACGGAAAGCTTTTTTTCCTTCGGTGATCCAAAATCGACCTCGGATTTTTCAACAGATTTATCATGAATACTCTCTGATTTTAGGGTCACACCGATTGTTTGTTTTCACGCATTAATTGTTCAAGGCAAAGTCGATTAGGCCATAACGAATGTATATTCATTGATTTGAACTGACTATCCTTCGAACTTCACTTTCGCGCACAATCCTCAGTTCATCGACTCAACCATACATTTGGAAGCACTGGACTCTAGTTTCACTCTTATAAGAGCTCATCGGTAGTGCATATCCACCGTCCCATCCGGGGTTTGAACTCCGGACCCATCGCATGGAAGGCGTGTGCCTTACCACTGCTCATGCCATGGCTGAACCAAATTGCCAATTCGTTTGTTCAGGTGTCATCTTCAGTGATAGTTAGTTCAAATCAGTCAACACCAATTATCCCACACAACTACTCACAAGCAACTGTGAGTGAAATGCGAATGTATATTTATTTCATTGAACAGCTGAACGGGGAGGGCACGTTAACGATAAGGTTTGATTTGTTAACTAGTACGGGATAGATTTCAAGAAAATGTGATCCCTTGAAAAAGTTTTATCGGTATACAATGAAAACAATGGCCAAGTTATCTTTGCGAATACTAGCAACGCCAAAGATATTAGTTTCCGTCTCAAGCAGTACATGCTATTCTCACTGATTTTGGGGTTCGTATCATTCTTCGTTCCTCGTTTCTCTTCATTGCGACTCCGGGAAATTATCGTCCGTGGTTTTCTTTATCATGTATCAATATCAAGCATTCCGAATGCCAACTAAGTGCACGCACTACTTTTTACCCCAGGTTCCGACCGCACTCCTCCTGCAACATCTCCTTTAGCTGCGCTTAGAATGCACAAAAATGACGATACGAACAATCCTGTTGACGACGAATCGTTCGCTCCGACCGTCGAACACGTACACGATGATGTGAAGACTGAAGAAGTTCTCAGGGATCAATCTACTGGCGGTGATGATTTCAGTCTTGCCGATTCACCACTTCCCGTCGAACCCGAATCCCCTCGAATAGTGAAAAATAACTCACCACCTGCTTCCGTCCCATCACCAACACGCCCGTCTTCTCCAGTTGTTGCTGTGGCAGAGGAGCAGGTAGTGGAGCGCATGAATGCTGCACCTGTTTCATTACCTAGTCCCGTCCGAGATCGTTTGCGAAGCCAAAGGAAGGGGCGAGGGCGTCGCACATTGGCTGCCAGAACGTCCATCATCAGCAGCCTGTTTCAGAATCCACTGCGGAAAAATGCAGTTGTGAAAGTAAGCGCATTACGTCCACATCATTTGTAGATAAACCTCTTGTTTTCCTAGGTTGTAATATATGCTTTTATTTGAACTCTATGCGCAAGTTATGTCTGATATTGTCTAGGTCCACCGAGGTACCCCATCAGTTTTTTCCTCGTTATGACCTTCCACGGCAATTTACCGCGTGTTCTATTAAGTTACCTTTTTCTGTTCACTTACGTATTAGATTTCGTTTTAAATGCTCGCGTGTCTTCGTGCACGAATGGTAAGATGCATTTCTGTCAGAGTACCCCTATCGATCCAAGGCGTGCATACCACAATATCCTTCAAGGATCATGTCACGAATTTGTCAACAATGAACTCCGAAGTTACTGTATCGTTGGGTACGTATGTTGAGGTTCGCGAGTCAGCAGTTCTGAAGTATTCTCAGCCACCTAGTCAAAGTACTGATTCAGACTGATATGATAAAGATCGATTTATCACATTTCTGCAGTTAAGTTATATCCAAAATGGTTTATCGAGAGTATTGCTATTTGAAGCGAGATGCGAGCGACCCTTATTATTGCAAACTGTATAGAGTTCTCGACTATGAGACATTCATGAAAATCGAAATAATTATTCAATGCAATTCAGTTTATTCAAACGAAGAAGGGCTAGTGCAAATTGCTTTTTCAATTCACCTTCCTTCTGCTGTCCCCTTTTCTCTAGCCTCCGCCCGTCGTTAAACCTGTGCATGGAAAATCTAATGCTAATGGTGAGCGGTTGTCCGGCGCTGATACTTCACAAAACCCACTTCCAGTCGCTACCATCAAGGAGGATCCAGCTAACAACCAATCTTCCACTCCTACTCCGACTCCTAAACNNNTTCATCCCCTGCCTCGGATTCAACGGAACCCATGCTCGATGCCGAAAGAGCCAATCTTTTGCTTATTCCTGAAACTCCATTGGCGAAACCGATATTCGATGGATGTCCGGTGCCCGGTTTGACAACACCCCTTGTTAAGGTTAATAATCAAAAGCTCGAACTTCCTTCGATTCCGTTTCCTGGCAAAAACTTTGACAAACCACGGAATTTAGCACCAATCGCTGTCAGAGCGCTACCATCCTCTCCGTCGTCTCTTGAGTCCTCACCGACATCTTCCCTTTCCTCTACCTCCACCTCACTTCTTGATGGACCCATTGTTGAACATATGGACAAACATGTTCCAGTTACCAATATTCCCAAAGAGAACATCATCTCTTCCAGGGAATCAGACTGGAATGACACGTTATCGGATCCTACTCACTCCAGATGTCATCTGTCATCTGTGGGCAC